AAAAAAAAAAAAAAATCAACACATCGTGGCACGATCTAAAGAAACACCTGAGAAACAAAGTCACTGACATCTGTCAGTCTGGAAAGGGTTACAATGCAATATCTAAGGCTTTGGGACTCCAGTGAAACATGATGGGAACTATTATCCACAAATGGAAAAAACTTTGTGAACAGTGATGAAGCATCGACAACTCATCCAGAAGATCATGAAAGAACCCAGAACAACATTAAGCTTCTACATGTCTCGCTTAAAGTCAGAGTTTATGATTCATCAATGAGAAAGAGACTGGGCAACAATGGCAGCCATGGGAGAGTTCAAGACAAAAACTGACCAAAAAGAAGATGAAGGCTCGTCTCACATTTACCAAAAAACATTTGATTATCCCAAAGACTTTTGGGAAAATATTCTGTGGACTGACGAGACAAAAGCTGAACTTTTTGAAGGTCTGAGTCCCGTTACATCTGGCATAAAACTAAAACAGCATTTCACATAACACCTCATACTAACAGTAAAATATGGTGGTGGTAGTGTGATGGTCTGGGAATGTTTTGCTGCCTCGGGGCCTGGAAGACTTGCTGTGGTAAATCCAACCATGAATTCTGCTGTCTACCAAAACATCTGTTTTCATCAAAGAATCTGTTCATGACCTCAAGCTGGCGCACACTTGGGTTCTGCAGCAGGACAATGATCCAAAACACACCAGCAACTCCACCTCTGAATGGCTTAAGAAAAAAAAAAAGGAGACTCTGGAGTGACCTGAATCAGACTAAGATGCTGTAGTACAAGTGTAAAAAGCAAGTTAATGTTCGAAAACCCTTAAACATGGCTGAATTACAACAATTCTGAAAAGATGAGTGGGCCAAACACCCCCCACAGTGCTCTAAAAGACTCAGTACCAGTTATTGGAAACGCTTGATTGCAGTTGTTGCTTCTAAGGGTGGCCCAGCCAGTTATTAGGCTTAGGTTTAATCACTTTTTCACACGGGGCCATGTAGGTTTGGAATTTTTTCCCCTTAATAAAACATCTTAATTTAGAAACTACAATTTGTGTTTAATTCCGTAATCTTTGTCTAATATTTAAATGTGTTTGATGATCTGGAACATTTAATTGTGTCAAACATACAAAAACAGGAAATTAGGAAAAGGCCAAACACACCACTGTATATAAAAACTTCTACATCTTTCTAAAGAGACTAAGATATTCTATAAGTGTGAAAGAGATGGAACAGGAAAGGTTGAGAGTGAATATAAAGGAGATGGGGAAAAAGAAAGGAGGATACAAGCCTTCACAGTAATCAGGCGTTGGAGGATACAGTTGATGAGCTTTGTAACAAACCACCAGTTTCCCACAATATGCTGCTCATTATTAACACTATGACTCATGTATGGTTTTCTACATTCTCACATACGGTGACGTATTCATCACATTTTAAAAGGCTTTACTAACCAGCAGGCCGTTGGTGGCGTGGATGGTGAGACAGCGGGAGAAGGAGTGGTGTATGGAGAGTCCGTCCACAAAGGTGGCCTCTGCGTAGCCTCCCTTCTGGTCGACATCCCCACACATGTGGAAGTGGAGGGGGTAGCGGCTTTTTCTAGCCTGCTGACCCATGTTCTTTAACTCCACGTAGGACAGATGCACTGATGAGAAGTTACTGAGAATCTGTAGGTGTTGAGGAGAGAGTACAATGAGCTCCCACCCACGACAAAAGCAAATGACGCCGGACTTGTGGTCCGCGTAACAAATGCTGGCTGACTAAAGTAATAAATTAAACCATTACAACTGTCTGCGTTCATCAACGACCGCACTGGGATATAAACTTTAGCCCATCTGGCACCGCGCTCTGTGAGTCGAGCTGTTTCAAAACCCCTGATGCTGGTGAATAAGCCGTGAATTACAGAAGCATAAATTAAAAGTTACGCACGCACAGAGATGCGCACAGCACATAGTCACACATGAATGCATACAAATAAAACGATACAAACAAATGTTCAGTGCTGTCTAAAAGGTCTTTTTTGTGGGTATGGCAAAATCAGCAGGATCTGGTTTCTGTTAAGAAGGTATTGGCCAACCCTTTCAGCTCACTGAAACTCAAGTACGCACAGTAAACACTGACCCTTACCCTCGCTTACATAAACACACACACACACACAAGAACTAATTGTTTCAACAGTAGATTCCACTCCACAGAGTCAACCTGACTTAAAATAAGAGAAAGGGCAACTCACTGGACAGATGAATTGAAACATGAAACGCATGGTGCTGAACTGTGCTAAATTCGATTTGGCAGACATGACAGATGGCTTTTTGCTGGCATAGAAGGCCTAGTTACAAAGAAAACGCTGACTTTTCTTTTCTTTAAAAAAAAAAAAACAGCTTCATGTGTCCGTCTGCTGTACTTCGAGGTTACAGTTAGAAAGCTGTTAACATGGAAACAAAGTCTTTTGTTTAGCACATGGGGGGCAAATTACATAGACTCTGAGGAATGTTTACGTCCATTTGCCACCAATTTGAATGAAATCATACAAAATTACAGTGAGCTCACTGACTGCACTGGGACCCATGCTAGACAGCAGAGATAAATCTACATGTTTGACCCTCATGTGCCTGCTGCGTTTGCAGTTTGTGCTGAGCCTACTGAAGAATAGTCTTTCATATAGATTCAAACTTGACATGAAGTGCAAGAAAAGAGAAACAGTGTGATGGTAAACAACACCTCTCACATAGGCCAGTACACAAATGTAGAATGTATGCACCGTTCATCTTCACAGTGAGGAAACTGTCAAACAGACTCTGAATAGCAACCTTTAACAGGAAAGTACAGTCATGCCAACTCATGCAGAAAGATCGGCACAAAGTAAATGTGCAATAAATTTACACACAGTCTTGTTTTCATATCTCTGTGGGGACATCTAATTGACACAAAGCTTTTTCTAGCCGCTTGCCCTAACCATCAAAAATGAATGCCTAATCCTAACCATAATTAAAACCTAATTGTAACCCTGACACTAAAACCACAGTCTCAAAAATGCCTTCAAACTCATGTCAACAGGCATTTTGTCCCCACTGTTGGTCCCCACAAATATAGTAGCATTCCAATTTTTGGTCCTCATAAAGATATCTAAACATGGTACACACGCGTACCTTGATGTGGCCTCCAAAGGTGTCATGGTTGTAGAACTGACACATGTTGTCTCCGTAGCAGGAGTTTTCCATTTCTCCATAAATGAGAATGTTTCTGGATAGGAGACCCACTTCGGCACGCATGTCGATGCCATCTATGATCTCTCCGGTATGGTTATACTGAGGCTTCCCTGAGCAGCACAGACAGATAAAACTAGAGGTCAAAAATACTACAACAAGGAGAAATTCTTAAAACTCTTAAAAGAAAAATATGTACAGAAACCATGAAACGGGTGCAAGTTGTTACTTTGTGTGAAAGCAAATTAGAGGTATGGCGACAGCAACATTTAATTAAATATCACAGCAACACGATTTGGTTTCTGAGGCGGGACAAGTCATACTAAAACACTACAATAACGGCTTGCTTGTGTTTAGATGATGCATCACCTAGCAGCCTTTCAACTGTAAACCACATTTAGCGCGTATGGCAGCTCCCGCTCAAACACTAACTAACCACACCCCAAAGAGTACCCACCAAACCAACACACATGTAAAAGCAAAAGTAATCAAACACGTATGAAACATCATTCATTCATCAACGCACAAAATACTCTCTGCCACAGATGATATGTGGCAGCTCAGGATTTCAACTGTTCAGCCTTTCCTGGTAACAGAAACCCTAAATTCAGCCCACACACACACACACACACACACACATAATAACACACCCTTCTCTCCAGGAAGGGAGTTGACAACAAAGGAATGAGATCAGGAAACATGCCTGATAGAGAGATGGACAAACTGCGAAACTGTCAGTGTAGTTTATTAACTTAACAATAGAAAACAGGAGGAGGTGAAGAAGGGGTGATGCATCCAAATCCATAACCCACTCATAAACCGCCCCGTGGTTATAATAAGATGGCCCTGCTTTTAAAAAAAAAATAAGCTGACAATCTCTCCTTAGCATTTTCCAATAATCTTACGTCACCATAACAGCTGAAAAGGAAATGAGATCCCGCTGGACCGAAGGATTAATGGCCCTACGTCTACTAATCACATTTATTAACTACAGAGGAGCATAAGTGATTTTTTACTAGTCTTCACACAGGCCTTGTAAAATGAAATGTTTCTCTACATCAGTTCCTATTTGTACTGTTTGTGACAGTAGCTCCTAAACACCAAGAAATAACCCCTCAGGGCAAATACTGACACAGCTGAAGAAACCAATGGCTGTCTCTCTCTCTCTCTCTCTCACCTTGTATCTTGACCTGTCGGCTGTTACAGTGAGGGCAGGGCAGCAGGGTAAACTCTTCAGCCTGGTGCATTGAGTAGTCTGTGCTGGCAACTACGATGCGATCCCCTGGTAGCCATGTCTGTTGCACTTCATCCTGCAGGTTTAGCACCACCTGGTCCACAGCATCCACCTGGAAGCCTGCAGTAGGGACACCTGAGGGGTACAGAACAATATTGGATTTTAAATGAAACATAAGGTCCAGCACAGCACGACAGAGGGAGGAAGGCTAACGCTTTGTAGTCTTCTGCAATTAAAGAAACCATTGATTTGACTTTTAGCACAAGATTGTTGACATAAAGGCTTTCCACTAGAAGAAAAAGAAATGTAATCTATAAAGATAACTATTGAAGGGAGTAAAAAAGTGACGCTCTGTGTTGAGGGCGAGCCGTGAGTTAGTGGCATTCCCAAAAAGTCTTTTTAAAATAAAAGCCATTTAGAGTGTCACACATTGATTCATTACCATCTTATTTTGAAATAAATAAATAAATAACCAAGGACCAGACTGCAGTGACCTCACAGCTCATTGTGGCAACAAGTACAAATACCCCAGCTAACTAGAGTTTATGTTCTAATTGCTAGTTAGCCAACATTAGCCTGGTCACAGCAGGGTAAATGTGTTCTTTAGCAGGTATTTCTTTGATGTTTCTGCCTTATTTTCCCAATGGGTATGGTTTTCAGAGTATGGCACGTTGCACTTTACTTAAGAATTGAAAAAGGTCATGGTAGAAAGCAAAGGTCAGAGAAAATAATAATAAATTGCCATGCACGCATCTTTATAAAACTGTGTTCTGAAAAAATTCATTTCCACTGAGCACTAATTCCGACTTAAGCTTCTCAAAAGTTCACGAGAAAGCAAGAATTAATTAGGAATAAATACCAGAAGTTGAGATTACATGGTTCGTTTTGGATTTCGTTATTTCTTACCGGTCTTCCACTCGCTATAGGCAGTGACCGAGAAACCCACTCCATTGACAGTGGTGAAGTTCCGTCTTGCCAGAGCTCTTCCTCCTGTGTCATGGTTTTCGTGTTCCCTAACATCCTCCGAGCATGATGCATTTGTACCGCCTATCACGGAAACCAAAGCCCATGCCTGCCTGGAAAGACCGAAGGAGTTAAAAGGAAGGTCGCAGAGAAAATGGAAAAGAAGAGGAAGTCATGAGTTTCACATTATTTTCGAAGAAATCATATAAAAAAAGCCTTAAAGCCTAGCTGCAACTAATAATCAACACCCATTACTGCTTCATTATCACATAACTACTTTTAATAATGTTACCTGTGCATATTTGCTTAGTCAGTGATGGTGTTTTAAACCTTGTACTTTAACCACATTCTTACAGACTGACATAAAACCACGTGTATTGAGTGATAAATGTAGCTGTAGCTATTTCCATAGACAATGCAAATTGCAGACACTGTGCTCATTGACAAAAGCAAATGTCTGAGATAAGCATGAAGCAGGAGAGTGGGTAAAAAGCAAAAAAGTTATTATCAGAGAATGTCAAAATATATTAAAGCGAAAAAGTAGAAAACCAGCGGATATCACACAAGTCATGGGATTATTGAAATAATTAAGGGAAAAATTTAGGAAGGGATGGGTGGATGTGTTAAAGCTATATTTGTTTTAACTTCTGTTCCAGGTCCTCCCTATCCAAGATGCCAAGAAAGCTTATTTTAAATGAGATTACAATGATTCAATAAGGAGAGGCTGAAATCATTTGAGCAAAGCAGCTCGAGGGTGTGGATGGCGTATAGCACTGGCTGTGCTTTTGAGGGTGTGCGATCTAAAATAAGACAGCACAGTATGAGACATACAGTCTTGGATATTTCGAATATCATGCCCTTAGCTTCTCAAGAATGGCTTCCTGCTTTTCTCTTTTTCCCCCCCCCCTCATGAATACCAAAAACATTTCATGGCAGCTGCTCTAATCTACTTATAAACTTTAAAGATTTTATCAGACAGACCAATACGCCTTTCAAACACAATTTACCATTCATGCAACCCGTGGAACTGTATCTGGGTCGGCAGTTGTCCATCCAGACTCAATCAAAGTGATCTTGTTTCCACCGAGCCATTGCTTGGCTCATTGCACGCGGTAAACAAACCCAGAGTCAACTCTATACTTAACCTCTTCAGCTCCATTTTATCCGGAAGTAAATGGGATCTACAGCCAAGCCTGCCACTCATGTCATATCTGAAGATGACATGATATAAGATGATTTAAGTGCATTAATAATGCCAGTGTTTACCTGAAAAAAAAAAAAAAACTCTTAATATAAACAGCAGTTTGTACTCCAATTCACCAAAGACCCTCTATCTGTTTAAAATAATTCATCTTGCTGGCATAATCACAGTCTTCTACAAAAGGTGTCTTTTTGTAGATGTGAGTCACTGTGACATGGAACAGCACACCTCAGTGATACACAAACAGGATCCATCTGGGGCATCCACTCTTGTCTTTCATTAGAGCCACAGCGTGTGACTTTCTGCAAACTGACCTGCTGCTGCCTGTGTGCATGTTTTCTCAGTAAATCAGAGCTGAGTCAGATGGTTAAAGACGCAACAAGGGAGGAAAAAGAAAAAAAAGGATCCTTTTTTAATTATTATTTTCGTCATACCCTTGATTTGGTAATCAACCTTTGACAACATCATTGTTTAACTGGAACTGCTAATGTGTGGGGGCCAGAGGTGAACTCACTATAGAGCACTATGAATGCGTGTTTCTTGTGTTTGAGTACTGTCCTGAGACACTGCGGTTAAAAGACAGAGGGGTCACATGCAAGAAGCAGCGGCTAACAGATTTGTGCATCGCTGCCAGGAAGGATGGGCGGACCCACCGAAATAAACCTGTGGAAATTAAATCAAATAGAAGCTGGAGGTCACAAGGTATGCACGCTGGTAAAGCACTGACGCAAATGACAATAAACCGCTGAGAAAATCTGCAACACCACTCCCTCCTCCATCTCCACGAGAAGGCATTCATTATAATGCTTAATCCTGTAACCCATCTCTCACAGCCACAGCAAAAATAAACAAACAAAGCAAAAAACACTTTGTGACTTGTGTGATTTCAGTTCATGATAAACTGTAGTCTGAACCTATAAAAACCAACAGTAAGAGGATTAGAAGAAACAGTCTTAGCGCACAAACCTAACTTCCAACAACCACTTCACGCGCGCTATCGTCTGATCCTGTCGCGCCACTCTAGATTTGAGGGAAACCGCTTCAAGTCCTGAGCCACATGCTCCAGTGTGGTGGCATTAAGGTTATGGGCAGCTATGAACTCAGTCTAATCATGTCTTTTTGTTAGTTTAATAAGGCATCACCTCATGTGACCACGACTGGACCTGGTCCTTCTGAAGGGCAAAAAAAAATCTCCTTAGTTGCCACATTTTTGTACAAATCCTGGAAAACACTGTGCATGACCCTGTTATCCTGTACATGTTTCCTTTTTCTGGTGAAGCAGTGACACAAAGGAAACAGGAACTACGACTGATTCAAGGGAACATCCTAAATGAACAGAAAGCCAAGTTTAAAAAAAAAAAAAAAAAAGGCATATCTCCAGGGATGCTGGATGTGAGACAAAAAGCTTGAAGAAAGTATTGATGCGTCAAAGGTGACTGGGTTTAGTTTAACTGGTGACCAAAAACACAGATGATTCACAGCTTTTGCGGCAGCGTTTACCTGTACTGGAGATCCAGAGCAAATCTGCTGCCGAGTTTCTCTTGGATGACTTTCCTGGTTTCTGGCCCAAGATTTCTCTCGGCAGAGTCTCCCACGGCGAGTGTGACAATTCGGCCCACAGGAAGGGAGCAAAGCAGCTGGGCGAGCCGCTGGCTGTCGTTGCGGGAATCGTACGTGTCGTAGCGTTCTGAGAACAGCAGAGCAGCCGTGTCCTGGTCCACCACGCGCAGGTGGATGCCTCGGCTGAAGTTTCGCTGGAAGGCATAACCCCCCGTGGCCACCCCAGACGCCGGGATGCTTCTGGTTAACAGAGACCAGGAAACTCTCTCAGTCCCGTGTACCTCCAGAGTTCCACCGGCCTTCACGCCAATGAACTTGCGGCCAAATGTTGGAACCTCGGAGACAGCCTCGCTGTCGGAACGGCCCATGAGAGCAATGATAGCATGGGAACGGTAGCGACATTTGGGCGAACCGATGTGAAGGGCGCCACCTTCTTCTATGAGGATGTGATGTGTTCTCAATGTTATGTTTTTGGAGCCGTCATGGCTGTCTGCAAAAACTACCCGACCTGTGAGAAGTCAAAGAAAACACGTTTAGTTCATTCTTGCTGTATGTTCCATCCAAAAGTTCATAAACTGAGCTTTAATAATAACAACTGGGTTACTGTGACTCAATCTGTGTTACATCTCTAGAAGCTACTTTACAAAAGTGAGACAGCTTGTGATGTGCCTACCTCCTGATTGGATGGTAAGTGAGCGTAAGGTAGCAGAAGCATCCAGTCTAAACAAATCTCCTCTCCTGACAATGACAGCCCGCTGTGGTTGGTGACCTGGATTCCAGTTACTGAGAGATGGGTTGTGATCTGGGCAATTCTCTGTAAATACGAACAGAAAGATGTACACAAAGATGTTTAAAAGTCATACAGAAATGGTTAAGAAGCCTGGAAATTCATAATAAATAATCACCATCTAACTCAGGACCACTACTGAGGCTAAGGACAAGGATAAGCGTGAGGAAGAAAGCCCCCAGTGACACTCCACAGCAGATCAGAGTCTTCTTTCTTAGCTTTTGCTGGAGCCTCTGCGCATCCTCCCTACGCTGGTTCTCTTCTGACAAGGTGACCCTTGTTTGTCGCCCCAGCGGCGGGCCGTGAGGTTTTATCGGTGGAGGCGGAGGCGTTTTAGCATGTGGCATCGAGCGGACTGGAGCCACTCGTCCGGGGACATAACCTGGGCACCTCTGGCTGCCCTGAGGTGGAGGCACAAAGACCGGGAACCTGCTGGGGCCATCACTAGTCGGCATGGTATACGTGTCTGCTACCTGAAAGACGATTGATGAGAAAGAGGGCAGAAGAAGAATAAGTGGCACGGACTGTATGCAAAGCATCAATAATTTTGTTTCAAATGAGCTTTTATTTATGGTTGGTTTACAGAAAATCTTGAAAAAGAACGATTTTCTGCTGTCAGTCACAACCAACTTTGGAAAAGGTCATATACAAAATCAAATTTCTTGTTTTAAAGTTTGGTTTGTATTTTAATATACAGACTGTTCAGCTGGAAGTACAAAGGTACCATCAGGCAGGCTTGGTGTTTAAGGATGAAACAAGGAGAAACTTAAAAAGAGGTCAAAGTGAAGGAAGACAATAAAAACGTGTAAAAACAGTAGGAGGTAAAGAAATAAAGCAGGCTGATTCTAGGGAAACAGGCAATAACCCACAAAGCATCTCACTCCAGGACCCCCAGGTAAAGATCTTCAGAGTGGCACTCAAAAGCACTATTAATCTACTCCTCCAGACAAGTTTGGCTTGAACCAGCGTGATATGGGCTGCTCATGTCCACAGTAACGAAGGAGGTCGTGAATAATGGATCACCGCATTCTTCAGACTATGTTAACACAGCTAACAGATGGCACCAATTACAGTAGGAAGGAGGAGAGCACTCTAGTCCCAGTCAGTCTGTGTTCGGGAGAAAGTAGCACAAAGCGAACCGAAGACATGGACGCTCAGTCGTCTCTCACTCAAGAGGACGATAAATCAAAAGTATTTTTCCTGCGTCAAGGAAATTCTGTGAAACTCCAAAGACAAGTTATCAGGAACTTAAAGGAAAACAATTGCCAACATTGTAATGCATTTTTAACTCGCTTTATTAATTGGGGTTTATTTACTCAAAAAGAAATGTGTTTAGATCCTCAACTCCTGTTTTGGTGCCTTTACTGTATGAGGACCAATCATGCTTACTCGCTTAGTCATTCCCCCCCAAAGCTCTACTGTGCGCCAGGAAAAACTCTGATTGGCTTTGAACAAATTTTCCTGGAGACTTGCTTTCATCTTGTAGCCTTAAACCAAGCATTTATGCACAAAAGTGCACAACTTGAAGCGACGAGGACACTCCCTGTTGTTCTGTAAAAAGACCTGACCCATGCCCCACAACACAGTGGGTCATGGGCGTAACTAAAGTACACACAAACATGCAGAGAGAAATATGTGGGCACACCTGCATGCACAAACACGCAGGGGTAGAGGACATGAGTGTGCAGAAAAAAGGCTTCTATACCACTTTTTGTAAACAGAAGTGCTCACTGTAATAACATCGCTGCTTGCCCTTTCTAGATTTTTTTTAAACAATAATGTCAAAATCAAATACACCCCAAAAATGATGCTTTTAGTCTTTAAATCTATCAGTGCTTCACACCAGTGCCAAGCCACAAACACACAAAATGACCACTGTCTTGACAGGCCATCTTGTCATCATTTTAGACCAGAGAGCAACAATAAACCTCTTCTACGCATAAACAAAGCCATGTAGGAACAATCAAGGACTGTTCAGACAAAAGCTCAGTCATTCATCTAAGCTTTAAAATAAACTGGGCAGAACAGCAGGTGGTTTGCCCACTTCAACTTGAAGTATCCCATTACAATACCATTCCCCACCTAAACATAAGATGGGGAATGAGTCTTCAGAAGCAGATCTCTGGCTATGTTTTTACTCCAAATTCCAGACTTATTCTGTTCCTGGAAGCTAAACCGATCGCAAGCCTGCAGACCTCATGTGTTCACTACTGACTTGTTCTCATATCAGCCGGAGTCTGCAGCTACCGAATATCAAACAGATGTGTGAGGAAGCATTTGGGCCACACCATCACGCATTCCTCGGCTGTAAAATCACCCTTTACTGTAGGGTTACTAACACTGACGCCATGTGTTCACTTAAAACTGTACAGAGGGAGTAACAACAGCGCTCACAACCACGCGTCCACACTTGTTCTGTGTGCGGACCTCGCTGACACTGAGGTTAATGAGGATGCGTTCAATGAAGGATTTCACTATTTCTGGACTTTAATTTTGGCCACCTTCTTTTAAACGTGCACTTCCAAAGGGCGTGTTACCGAGTTTCCACAGCAAAAGAGGAACCCGAGAATAAGAAGCATGAAATAAAGAAGTGAGCAAATCTGGAAAAGTATTCATTATTTACAGCTTTTCTTCTGTTTCGCCGTTATAGTAGCTGGTGAATGGGACACGTAGCAGCACGCTTTGAGAAACTTTTTAACAATAGCTTAAGAGTCAATTATGACTTTTGTCGTTCACTTATAATAAGCCTAGCGCCCCTTTTCTAGAAAGCAAGCGTTGCTTCAGAGGTTCACAAGGTTAAATTCTCCTCTTTCCCCCCTAATGGTTGACGGACGGACACAGGCACAATGTAAAAGCGGCTGGCCAGGCGGACGGTGGGGTCTTACCGTTGGAGGGACTGTCCTATTCCTCTCCCGGCTCTGTCCATTCGCTCTCTTCCGAGCCCTGAAAACGTTGCCCCAGCGGTGGTGAGACAATCAGATAAGTTCTCACCCTGACAACTCTGCGCCTTCGTGTCCCTTCTTATATACCCTTTGTTCACATGGTGGTTCTTTTTCTGCTGATAGGCTGTCTTTCTCCCCGCGATCAGCCTCCGGTCCCACAGAGAGCGAAGCAGGCGCGGCTTTCAACCGAGGAAGACGCGATGCGTTCAAAGGCTGTCGAAAAGATTGTAACAATAATACCCACGAGAACGGCCTCCCTGGGCTGACATAAGAAACCGGGGATAGTGGAAATAACGTTGCAACTCAGCTGTTGTTATTGTTTTATGAAGGAAGAACATAGGTTCACTTTCCAAGGCCCGTTAAACAGCAGTCGCTGCATATTATGGCCGCATCGAAAGACCTAATCACTTTATACTAATTTTCGACTGGATTTTGCAACACGAATTTACACGTGAAATTTGTTGTCTCTCCGAGGAGTCACTGAACGGTACACCAGAAGGTGTATTCAGAGGAGGGGCTTTAAAACCTCGGACACAACGCCACCCTCTGGTGAGGATGGAGATATACCTTTTTTGCCCAATCTCCATGCTTGGCAGACAGGAGGAAAACAAAGAACAAAATGTAGAGGTTTAATATTTCAGCGTTCATAAATTGGAAATTCCGATGTGATAACCAGTTTCTAAAAAACATAAAAGTCGGACAAATTATGATGATTCCTATATCTTTGGCCATATTTTCACTTCCAGACTTCCCTCAAATTATATCCTTTAACATCTCTTATCTGCAAATCTAACTAATCCCCTAATCCTACTTTAACTGTACTAAAGCAGCAGAGATAAATTCTTGGCCTACAGCACTATCAAGCTTGTGTTTTCTCTGAATCAAGCTCTCACTGAAATATTATCTCTCCACTTTGATCTGGGGAACAAACACACCGTAGAGAACAAAGCAATCTCCAATAGATTTAAACATTTAAAATATAAATTTAGAAAAAACAAACAAACCATGAAATACATAAAGTGTGACATTTATATATATGCGTGTGTATATGAAGTAAACCTGGTATTTGTAACACACACACACCCTCCTTTCTTGTCCTTTTAATTTTACCTGTGGTGAAGATTGTTCTTCATTCCAGTGTAGTTTGAAGTTATTAATATATATGGAAGTATTTTAAAGACTCTCTCCCCCCCCCTTTTGGCACTTCACTAGAGTGGTCAGGAATATGTCAGGGATGACATCAAACTCCAAAGAGTGCCTGAAGCCTATCAGGGGGACCTTAAAATCAGAAGGCGCAGATACCAAATATGTCAACACCTCAGGAAACCTGAGAAAGGGCAAGAAATACAGGCCATTTATATGGATACACCATAATAAAATGGGAATGGTTGGTGATATTAAAGTCCTGTTTGTGGCACATTAGTATATGTGAGGGGGCAAACTCCTCAAGATGGGTGGTGACCATGGTGGCCATTTAGAAGTCAGCCATCTTGGATACAACTTTTGTTTTTTTCAATAGGAAGAGGGCCGTGTGACACAAACTTATTGGTAATGTCACAAGAAAAACAATGGTGTGCTTGGTTTCAACGCAACTTTATTCTTTCATGAGTTATTTACAAGTTTCTGACCACTTATAAAATGTGTTCAATGTGCTGCCCATTGTGTTGGATTGTTAATGCAACCCTCTTCTCCCACTCTTCACACACTGATAGCAACACCGCAGGAGAAATGCCAGCACAGGCATCCAGTATCCGTAGTTTCAGGTGCTGCACATCTCGTATCTTCACACCATAGACAATTGCCTTCAGATGACCCCAAAGATAAAAGTCTAAGGGGGTCAGATCGGGAGACCTTGGGGGCCATTCAACTGGCCCACGACGACCAATCCACTTTCCAGGAAACCGTTCATCTAGGAATGCTCGTACCTGGCACCCATAATGTGGTGGTGCACCATCTTGCTGGAAAAACTCAGGGAACGTGCCAGATTCAGTGTATAAAGGCGGAAACACACATGGCACATTAGTACATGTGAGGGAGCAAACTCCTGACCCTGTATAATAAATAACCAGGGGGAGAAAATTGATTAGGAAAAGACATGCATGAACTGGAACCAGGGGTGGGGAGCGGTGGGGGTGGGGACATTGACGAAACCAAAGCTTCTTAAAATAAAGGGTAAAAAAAAGATGCAGAGAAAGAATATACAAAACAAACTGAAGGACAAGAGAGAATCTGATAAACAGGAAGAAAAAAAGGGAACCAAGAGGAGAAAAAAAAAGAAAAAAAAAAATGACAGAATGGCTGTTGGGTGTGGATTTTCACCCACAACAGAAAATACAACTGGAAATGCAAAGTCAATCCAAATAAATATATACATAAATCATCAAGAGCTAAGAAAGGCAGCCAGTGATAGACCTAGTTGCAGGAACAGGGTAAACTGTAGGGTTTGCTGAACATACAGGCATACCAGATGTCCAAAACCACGCAGGTGGATGACCCCAGAGAGACAGGCAAAGGCAACACTCCCAATAAGATGGATAGGAGATGGTTACCAAACCCCTCTGGAGGCCAGAGGCAGACTCAATCGTGAGGCTAACTGGAAAGGCTTCAGCCAGAGCTTACTATGGAGGAGGGAGAGTGACAAGACAGGCCATGTCAAGACCTCGAGGAGAGATGCAGGCCAAGCTTGATGCAGCAGCAATCAGGAGTCCACCAGGGTGACAAGCTGGGGAGGGGTGAGGCAGAGGAGTTGGGCTGCACAAAGATGCAGATAAATGCCAGGTGCCAGTCAGCTCTGGAGATGGAGTAGACACCAAGCTAGTAGGCCTGACTGAAATTAAGCTAGCACATCACCTCCTAAAATGCTTCTTGGCAGATTCGGGTCTGCTGGATCCATTGTAGCCAAAAACAGAGGACCCAACTGCAAAATTCAAAATCCTTATCACGGTTTCACTCCAGGATCACAATTTCAAGCACAAATTAGATTGTTTGTCAAATACCATTTATTTCCTCTATCCATATTAGAATGACTTTATTAATGTTACTACATACAGCTTCTTTTTGTATTGAAATACGCTATACAAAATGAAATCAAATCAGACATGACTCTTGTCAAGGTGAGCAGTACAAAGATCATTTGAAAAGCCAAAATTTTGGCCTAGTCTCCATCATATCAATAGTTCGAGAACTACCAAGAAATACAGTTAATAGGTTAATAGAAGACAAAAGCTTGTAAAAAGAACAGGCTTAAAAAAAACAAAACAAAAAAAAAAGTCCAACAAGTCCAGTACACAAATTAAAAGTAAAAAAAGAAAAGCATGATTGACTTGTTTTCATAACAGACCATCATGAGAAATGATGGTTCTGATCTAGAGTTGTTTTCTTCTTCTCAACCTGTAACTAATCAGACCTGAAGGTTTACAGTAGCACCCTTTAGCTTATTGGTTCATTTAATTTACTAACAAATTCTGATCCATCTTTCTAAACACAGGCTCAAGTGCAACCCAGATACTGGGGGAAAACAAACAAAAGACAAAACAGGAGGAAGCCATGGGTGACATGCAGCTGCAAGTTGACATTGGCTTGTCTGGGCACTGAAAAAGAGCTCATCTTGCCTCACTCGGCATTAAAAAGCAAATGAACATCTCATGCAAACCAAAAGGAAAACCTTCTGTCCATGACAGGCCTTCAATGATGAGCCACTCACACTGACATTACCCACTGTCCAACACACACACAGGGAGGATTGTTCAGCTCAAATGTATGGGAGGACTGAAAACACAGCATTGTCTTTTTTTTTTTCTCTTTTTTTTTTTATTAAAAGGCAATGCTGGAAAAACTAGCCGTTTTCATAAAGTTCACCATTCCTGATTGGCTTTAGTGGTTTACCTCTGCTGTCACAGTAATTACAGTATTGTCAGCAAAAAAAGCAAACGAACAAAAAAATAAACCCAAACAAGACAGAAAGATGTGATCCAGGTACACCAGAGATTTGTAGCTATACACATTATGTAACTTGACCTCTTCAGATCCAAAGGCAGGAAATAAAACACTGTCAACACTGAGCTTCGTGACGACTACTGCACATAGACAAATGGGTAAAATCCAAAAAGGTAGATGGCAATTTGTCGACAGACTTGCCCTGCATTTAATTCTGTCAAGAAGAATCAATTTCATCAACTACAGTGTAATAAACTGATCTTATACCAACAATACTTCAAGTCAAACTCTGATGCGAGCACTGTTCCAGTGTGAGGAAATAACCCACACTTCCTTGTTTAACAACGTACAGCCCCGGCCTTTAAACCAGCTACATACAGTAAGCTGCTGACAGAGCCTCGTCTTGTGCTGTATCTGTGTAGACTGTACCACTTTAAAACTAAACAGAAGTGGAGGATTCACACAACTAACGAAGCTTTGGAGATGGTTCTAGACATGATTTGTAAAAGTACACTTCCTTGTATTCCTAAATCTCTGCAATGTATCATACTACACATTTGGCAACACTGACACAGAAGGGTAATATGTCAGTTTGTCTTGTACAGTTCTTCAGTGACAGCTGATACGTGCAATATTAAGTAGAATATTTAAAAAAAAAAAAAAAGAAAAAAGGAAGAATTCATGGTGACTGCAGTGTGTCAGACCAAATCTGACTGTAGAGTCAGACTGAGTTCAGTTGAATTTGAGTGAGTCTGGTCCAGCACAGCTTGTTGAAAGTTTCTCTGTGGACCATGTCCTTCACAAAAGGCAGCAAAAAATGTGGCACATACACACAGTCATACATGGCAAGTACACATGGGATGTTGCCTGTGCACACATCTGCTTCTCCTTTTATGCACATACAGAATTTCACAATGTGCAATTTTCAACATGATACAAAGAAAATTTAAAAAAAGAAAAGGAGGAATGAGTACTTCACAGCTGCAGCATGTGGAGCGGACGGTGTGGGCAAGCCCGATTTATGGGCAGTCAACCATCAAAATGTTGGTACAACACACAACTTCTAGTTGAATTAGAATAAAATGTTGTACCCCTCATTCATCATTCGGCTTCTCCTTAAATCTGGGGCGGTGTTCTCTTCTTCCCTCTTCCCGCCATTTTCCCCCAGCTCCTTTACAGGTTGACTAGCTCATGTGCAACAAACTGCTTCAGTCTCTCCAGGTACTGTCCATAGAGCTCCACATCGTTGTGACCGGCCCCTTCTACCCAGAGCGGCTCCACTGGGCGCTGACAGCGTTCATATAGTGCCAGCCCGTGGGAGAAATCAATGACCTCGTCTTCTGTACCGTGGATCACGAGTACTGGTGATGTTACCTTGGAAATCTTGTCGATACTTTGGAGAGAGAGAAGGGGGGGAGAGAAAAAAGAAACATGTCAGAAACAGGGAAGTAAAAACACAAGAAAGAAAAAAGGGAAACAGATGCTTAGTTAATGTTCTTGCTACTAAAAGTATTCTCTAAATGAATGAATTAAAACAATAACTGGAAAAAAAAAAAAAAAAAAAAAAAAAAAAAAAGAGCACAGCTAGTTTCCTGATTTTACACCAGGGGGAGCTATTGAATATCTGCTCTTCTAAGGACTCTCCTGGGTGCTTAACTGGGAAGAGAGGTGGGATGAAGGAAAGGGGACCTATAAATTCAATTCCTTTATTGTCCCACAAGGGGAAATCTCACACACTCTCACACTCTCACACACACACACACACACACACACACACACACACACACACAGTTTTCAACTTCCTTGGTACATTTATTCATACAGTGCTGTGTTATTAAATGCACGTGAGGCCGCAGCCCTTTAAGTGTATACTGTGTGGCAGATTTAGCCTGACTTCCACATATGCCATCTGTCCGTACGGTCCACTCACTTTGGGAAGGCATCAAAGCAGTATGTCTTCTTGGTGTCAGGGAAAGCCACTCTCATGCCAGAGGTGAGCGGGGAGTGGAGGATGACTGCAGCAGTCTCATAGCGAGAAGCCAGGTCTACAGAGGGCACGGTGCCAATGCTCTGACCATACACGATCACATTCTCTGGACGGATGCCATACCTACAAGGAGGACAAACAGTACAGGAACATCACCCTCTGCTTATCATGAATATGATATTTACACCACCAGTAGATACATTTTGTGTGCTCATCCAGACACTGGCAAGCATCCAGTTGGGCCTTGAGTTAATTACACAAAGCAGCTTAGCTGGCAGCAAAACAAAAAGAGCAAATGCTTTATTTTGGGATCCACATCTATTTATCAGAAAATAAATTCATTCAACCTGCCAGTTGACTCTTGTTGTTCCCCCCACCCCCACCCCACATGTTGCTCCACAAGAAGGGTAGAAAAAACAAAAACAAAAAAAAA